GCTGGGGGGGAGGGGGTTTGGGGTAGAGGCTCCAAACTTGGAGGGTGCTCACTGGAACCTCTTCCCAACATGCCCACCAAGTTTCAAGGCGATTGGACAAGGGGGTACAATTTTATGGCCCCCCAAACAGGTTGCCCCCAGATCAGCCTTCTGCAGTTTATTCCCGGTTTGCCGCCGAAATTCGGCGGCAATTCGGCAACATTGTATCATATGGCCCTTGGAGTTGGAGGCTCCAAACTTGGAGGGTGGTTACTAGAACCTCTCCCCAACACACCCTCCAAGTTTCATGAAGATTGGACCAGGGGGTCCAATTCTATGGGCCCCCAAACAGGTTGCCCCCATCCCATTGTTCTCTATGGTGGGAAAAAATGTAATTTTTTTCCCACCATAGAGAACAATGGAGGGATGGGGGCAAACTGTTTGGGGGAGTGTGCTGCGTGTTGCAATTTCAAACTGTACATTGCCAGACCAGCCAGCCACACTGCAGCAGAACCATACAAGTGCCCCCCCACCTGCGCTACCAAACTGGGTGCCCAAAACCCCAAAACTACAACTTAGCTCAAACCAAAGAATCTCTCTACAGTAGCAGCAGCACTAGCATGTGCATTGTGCCAGACAGGCCCAGCAGAAGAAACAACCAGAGCAATCTGCCACCTGTGCCAGGCCAGCCAGGTTGCCAATTGCCAGTCAGTGCCCCAAAACCAGAACTAGGTCAAACCAGAGAATCTTTCAAGACAGCAGCAGCAGCCACTAGCCCACTACAGGGAGCAAGTGCATGCCAGCCAGGCCCCAGCAGCAGAAGAACCAGAGCAATCTGCCACCTGTGCCAGGCCAGCCAGGTTGCCAATTGCCAGTCAGTGCCCCAAAACCAGAACTAGGTCAAACCAGAGAATCTCTCCAGACAGCAGCAGCAGCCACTACAGACTGAGGGAGCAAGTGCATGCCAGCCAGCCAGGCCCAGCAGCAGAAGAACCAGAGCAATCTGCCACCTGTGCCAGGCCAGCCAGGTTGCCATGCCAGTCAGTGCCCCAAAACCAGAACTAGGTCAAACCAGAGAATCTCTCCAGACTGCACTGGAGCGGCAGCACACAGGCTGAGGGAGCATGTATGTGCATCGCCAATGCCAATGCCAGCCAGCCAGGCCCAGCAGCAGAACCAGTCCACCACAAGTGTGCCAATGTGCCAGTGCCCAAAAAACCCCAAAAGCAAAACAATCTCTCCCCTCTGCAGTGGCAGCGGCCTACATAGGGGAGCATGTTTGCTAATCGCAGCCATGCCCAGCTGCAGAACCAGAGCAATCTCAACTTCCCCCCATCAACCTCTGTGCCCAGCAATGCAGGAGATTCACACAGAGACGTCTCCCTTACAACCCCAGAGGCCCAGAGGCCCCTCCTCCATGACCAGAAGCGCTATTTGCCTAGCCTGCTTTGGAAATCCAAAGGTGGGCTGCCGAGAGGCTGAAAAGGAGTTGGGAACTTGGGAGTCGGGCTTGGTCCCCTGTTCAGGGCAGGGGACAGCAGCAGAACCTGTGCACTGCACGCCCCTCCCCCAACCACACCCAGCCCGCCTGCTCCATGGCCAGGAGAGACTGTAAGGAGAGATGACTACTAGTCCGCTCCGCTTTGGAAATCCAAAGGTGGCCACTGGCCACAGGCTAAAAAAGGATTGTTACCATTGACCAACCCCCCACTCTCAACAATTCCACCAAGTTGGTTTGGGCACTGATTGGTTGCACCGTGGCACAGGTTGTGGTGGGGGGGGGCAGATTGCTCTGGTCCTGCTGCTGGGCCTGTCGGGATGATTCCCCAACCTGGGAATCATCATATCTCAATCTTTGGGCACCCCCTGGAGAGTTGGCGGCCACTCTGATTTGGCCCCATTGGTTATAATGGACCCGAATTTTTTCGGGATTTTTTTTCGGGATTCGGGAAAATGCATAGGAAGCCATTTCGGGATTGCAAAAGCCGAAAAAAGCCGAAAAACGTTATTTTCGGCTTTTTTTCGGTTCGGGATCCCGAAATGCACATCCCTAGTGGCAGGCACTGCGATGAGAGAGGAAGGCAGAGTCCTTCCCCACGCCCTTCCGGACTGGAGCCCCTCACCCGTTTTGTAAACCTCGTGGCTGCAGCTTGCAGTCAGTCAACAAAGCCCAGAGCCTCTTTGCCTCCCTTCCCGTAAGAAATGCTGGGCTCTTTTCTATGCCTTGTGAAAGTGAAACCAGGATTGGCCGAGACTGCAGTATCAAAAGAAATCAGCAGAATGAAGAAGAAGAGACTGGATTTATACCCCGCCCTTCACTCGCAGTCTCTGAGCGGCTTACAGACTCCTTTCCCTTCCCCTCCCCACGACAGACACCCGGTGAGGTAGGCGGGGCTGAGAGAGCTCTTTCAAGAACTGCCATTTCAAGGACAGCTCTGACAGAACTCTGGCTTGCTCAAGGTCACCCAGCAGCTGCAAGTGGAGGAGTGGGGAATCCAACCTGGTTCTCCCAGATTAGAGTCCGAACACTTAACCACTACACCAAACTAGCTCTGAAACTGAAAGAGAACGATGGGTTTTCCCATTATAGGCTGTTTTGTTTCGTTTTCCATGTTCATTACACTAATTACCGCACGCCCCCATTGTCGTATTTATTGTAATTAGCTAAAGATAACGCACAAGCGTAGAACGGCAAACCACCCTTAGGCTACTGTGTAATTCTGACGAGGTACCACTAGGGGGAGGCGTGAGACTGCTAAATCCCCCTGGCTTCTCTGGTCCTAAAGGGCTGTCGTCACAGTGTAGAAAACCGGCTGGACGAATGGATTCATGCAGCAAAACCAGAATTTTCATATCGCTCAGGAGGCGACTTACGAAGCTGTCCCGAATGCAAACAGAGACATCAAAGGAGGCCTGCATGGCTTGCCGTCCGTCAGACCTGGTCCACCCCCTCCCCACCTTGCTGTGTAGGGCGCCTTAGGGCCCTTGGGTGTCGCAGTCCCAGGGAACCTCTAAGTCAGGTGTGGGCAAATATTTTTGGGTCTAAGAGCACAGCTAGGTCTTTGCCTGGTTTGGAGGACTTGGAGTGCGATCCCGGCTAGAGATGTGAAGGCCCGGGAAAAAACCGGGAAAATTCGGGGAAAAACGTGTTTTTTCCTTAAGTCTTTAAAAAAAATTTTTTTTCCAAAAAATTGATAAAAGAAAAGAAAAAAAATTGATTATGGAACATTTTATTTTAACATGATGAATAAAATATTTTAAGACAAGGTGTTCAAATATTTTCCATATCATTTCTAAAAAATATGTATGGTATCAGATTGATCTAATTTCTGTGCACTGAGGACAAGCAAGTCCTAAGTTGCCAACTGAACTCCCCAATGCAAGAAGAAGATGCATTCCTTCCTTTTAGGAGGTGCTACTGTCACAAGAAAAGAAAAAGGTTTCAGTTTTGTTTTTGCATGTGGGTGGGTATTCTGTTTGTAATAATTCTTTGGATGCACTATACTTTTAATATGCCAGTTGTGATAATTTCATGCCAAGTAAAAATGTCCATAGTCCTATTTTATGTTCCTAAAGTAACAGAATGCTAATGTAGCATTTTTTTCAATGTTTCCGAGAATTTCCGTTTCCCCCCGAAAAAAACGGGAAAGAAACGGGTTTTTTTTCCGAGCTTCAAAATTTCCGGAAATTTTACATCTCTAATCCTTTTTACAAATTTTACATCTCTTCCTGCTGCTGAAATGGGGAGAGCCAGCATCCCACACAGACCCAGAATCGGCCCTGTCCGCTGTCCCAGAGGCTCTTGATCTGTTTAGCACATTCCGAGACACCTCGGGCCCCTCGCCAGGACTGCAGCCCTCTGGGCTCATGTTTCTGAGACAAAACCGCTCAAGGGCTGGGAGAAGGGCCCCTGTTGGCCAGGGTGTCATTTGCCTGCCTCCGCTCTAGGCATTTCTTGTCTCTTTGGCAAGAGGTCTAGCATCACCGTGCTGTGTGTTTTGCTAGCTTCTGGGCCAAAGCCCTCCTTGGCAAATGTGAGCACTGAGTAGCCAGTTTGGTGTAGTAGTTAGGAGCGCAGACTCTAATCTGGGAGAACTGGGCTTGATTCCCTACTCCTCCACTTTCAGCTGGTGGATGACCTTGGGCAAGCCGTAGTTCTGACAAGAGCTGTTCTTGAAAAAAGAGCAGTTTCTGACGGAGCTCTCTCAGCCCCACCTACCTCCCAGGGTGTCTGTTGCAGGGAGGGGAAGGGAAAGGAGTTTGTCAGCTGCTCTGAGACTCCAAGTGAAGGGCGGGGTATCAATCCAATCTCCTCCTCCTCTTCTGCTTCTGCTTCTGCTTCTGCTGCTGCTGCTATCAGGCCTTCTCCAGCAGCCGTGGACTGCCACGGAGCTCAGTGAATGCCGGTTCGTGGCCTTGCCACCCATCTGGTGCTTCGAAGCCTCTCCTACAGAGAGGTTCTTCAAGGCAGAGGGACCCCGGGGGTGGCCAGTGTCTTCAGTGTTCATCCTCTCTCCTTTGGGCCTGTTGGGCGGGGGTTGGTGGAGGCCCAGGGATGGAGAACCGCAAGAGGATCATCGTTAATCTTCTGTGTCCTTCCCTTCCCTTTAGACTCTGCAGCAGCAAGAATGCAAACTCCTGTACAGTCGCAAAGAGGGACAGCGGCAAGAGAATAAGAACAAGAACAGATACAAGAACATCCTGCCCTGTGAGTCGGCGGCTGGGCGGTCCTGCCCTTGAGGGTTTCCTGGCGGGGGGGGGGGGGGTCGTGGTCCATCTGGGTCTCCTGGCCGCTCTTGTGTTTCCTGTCTGCTGATTTGCCACATTTTTGTTCCACCCTCGCTCCAAGAAGCTCATGGCCGTCTGCTCGGCTTTCCCCTTCTCTAAGTTATCTTTACAACAACCCTGTGAGGTACCTCAGGTGGGAGGAGAAAGGCAAGCCAAGGTCGTCCGTAGAGCTTCCATGGCAGGGTGGAGGTTCCCCCCCAAGTTCCCCCCCCCTCTTCCTAGTATGAGCACTTCACCACACGGGCTTGATGCTGAGTGTCGGAGCGCTGTGGCCCAGTGGTAGAGCCTTCGCTTGGCATGCAGAAGGTTCCTAGTTCAATCCCCGGCATCTGCAGTTAAAAGGACCAGGCAGTACATGATGTGAAAGACCTCCACTGCTGTGTTTGGGATTCACAGTTATGTGAGAACCTGAGACCTTGGAGAGCCGCTGCCTGTCTGAGTGTCAGACCCCGGTCCAGTTATACTCGGCAACTCTCTCCTGGCAGTGATACGTTTATTGAGTTATATGCAAGATCTAGAAAGTCACTGTGTCAGAACTGAGGATTTTGGGCAGGCACAAGCTTAATATAGGTAACTCAAAGTAAAGCCACTTCCCTTTCCTCTGAGCACACGTCACATTCACACACACCCCGCCTAAACGTTGTCATCCCAACCAAGTGAAAGATATACATCTTGGTTATCTGCAGTCCAGGTTGGTACAGAGAGTCTTTTCTTTTCTTTTTTTATGGCCCCCCGTAGGGGATTTCTTATTTGCATTTACTAAAAACTACAACGAAATTAGGGAGGGAATCTACACACTATAGGAGAAAGAAAAGAAAACCCACTAAAAACTCAAGGGTTGGAGGTCACATACAGCTTGTAAAAAATTTGCTTAACAATAATAAAGAGCCTAACATTGAGAGTGATCAATCATCATCATAGCTTGTAAAAACATCCCAACAAATCTGACTATATGAAGAGTAGTCCAGGAGAATCGCTATTTAACTTAGACACAAATTACAGAGAACAATGGCATTTCATTTAACCATTATTTTCCCCTCCACCATTAAAAGCAAATTAACAATAAGTCTCCCTTAGTAGATATTAGGTAAAGGTAAAGGTTCCCTTGCTCGAAAGGCCAGTCGAATCTGACTCTAGGGTTGCGGTGCTCATCTCCGTTTCAAAGCCGAAGAGCCCGCGCTGTCCGAAGACATTTCCGTGGTCATGTGGCTGGCATGACTAAACACCAAGGCGCACGGAACACTGTTACCTTCCCACCAAAGTGGTCCCTATTTATCTACTTGCAATTTCTTGCTTTCTTGCTAGGTTGGCAGGAGCTGGAACTAGAGATGGGAGCTCACTCCATCACGTGGCACTCGGGTCTTGAACTGCTGAACTACTGACCTTCCAGCCTGCAGTTCAGCATCTTAACCATTGAGCCACCGCAGCTTTACGTGGCCTCAGAAGACACATAGCCGGCTCACTATTCAGCAGATTGCTGATGGGGGGGGGGTGTAGTCCGTGTGTGCAAAATATAACCTGATTAAATCCTCTTAACTATTTGTGCCTGCAACATCCAAATGTTGCAAATCTTCCCTGCGTGATCTCCCAGAGACAATTTCTGCTCACCCCAGGCGAGCGAGCCTGATTTGGCCCTTGAATGCAGCTCTTTCACAGAGCGTGTCTTGCTATGTCTGTATTTCTGTTCCAGTTGACCACACCCGAGTCGTCCTACATGATGGCGATCCAAATGAGCCTGTTTCTGATTACATAAACGCCAATATTATCATGGTAAGACTTTCTCCCCTCCCCTGGTGTGTGGGGATTTCTCTGGCCCGTGGATTCCTGGCTCGGGTGGGGAGAATAGATTGCACAGCCTTTTCAATCAGGTCTCAGGGAAAGTGGTAAACTTGGGTTTGTACCCTGTAACTTTGCAAGCAGGAGTCCAGGTGATTTCGATGCTTCTCTGTACAAAAAAAAAGTTCTCTGGGTTGGATTCATCCTGTTAAGGCCGAGGCGCCTTCCTCTGCAGGAAGAAACCTCCCCCTGGCAGACGACACTCGCGTGGTCCCTTGTTTATTTTGTATTTACGTCATTTCTCACTGGCGATCAAGGTGGATCACGCAGAGTAAGTCAATGCAGTCAGCAGGGTGAAACATCCAGCAAACAGTGCAATCGGGTTTGGATTTGCAGAAATCTGGAACCGACCAGCAATTCTTCTGCTGGAGGGAAAGGGTCTTTGTGGCATGTTACCCCTGTGAATGTTATTAGCGTCCCAGGGAGCGGGCCAGCCCATCGGGCATCTGGAGAGGTGCATTTTTCAAATAAATAAAGCGTGAGTTTGTGTACAGAGGGCCAGTTTGGTGAAGTGGTGAAGTGCGCGGACTCTAATCTGGGAGCACCGGGTTTGATTCCCCCACTCCTCCACTCGCAGCTGCTGGGTGACCTTGGGCAAGCCATAGTTCTGTCAGAGCTGTCCTTGAAAAAGAGCAGTTTCTGTCAAGAGCTCTCTCAGCTCCACCTACCTCCCAGAGGGTGTCTGTTGTGGGGAGGGGGAGGGGAAGGAGTTTGTAAGCCGCTCTGAGACTCCTTCGGGTAGTGAAGGGCAAGGGTTATAAATCCGATCTCTTCTTGTTATTATTTATTTATTATATTTATACCCCGCCCATGCTGCGAACAGGCTCAGGGCGGCTAACAAGAGCGGTAAGTAAAGGTAAAGGTTCCCTTGCTCGAAAGCCAGTCGAGTCCGACTCTAGGGTTGCGGTGCTCATCTCCGTTTCAAAGCCGAAGAGCCAGCGCTGTCCAAAGACGTTTCCGTGATCACGTGGCCGGCATGACTAAACACCAAGGCGCACGGAACGCTGTTACCTTCCCACCGAAGTGGTACCTATTTATCTACTTGCAATTTCTTGCTTTCGAACTGCTAGGTTGGCAGGAATCAAGAGCGGTACAATGTACCTAATTGGCATAAACCATAAAAGTTTAAAAAACATAAAAATACATACTAACTCATATCAGCATTATAAATATAACAGCAATAAAGTCCTCGCAGTGCTAAAAGGTTAGATGGGCGTGCTCTTCAGATCTAAATTCACGTTGTCTGTCTCCTCCTCCTCCTCCTTCCAAATGTGAGTCCTTTTAAAAAATCTGGTGGATCACCGAGGACTGAGCAACATTATGAGCAGACGTAGTCAAGTTCTTCATAAGCTTGTTCGTGAATGTTGGTCAGTCTTTGGGGACCCGCCAGATTTTTTTAAAGGTTCCCTTTCTGGGTTCCCGGAGACAATTTCTGGTCACTTAAAGTAAGTAACCGTTCACAAGCCTGAGCTGAAGAGACTGGAGTGGGGGGGGGGTGGGGGGAGAAGAACCCCGTCGGCGGCGGGGGGGGGGGGGGGGGGGGGGGGGGGGGGGGAGGGGAGGGGAAGGGAGTGGTGACCGGCAATGTTTCCTCTAAGCTGTGGAGTCTTGTGAGCAAAAATTCTACTTTGTGAGCGACTGGCATTAAAGTTGTGAGTGAGCCATTTGGCTACTGCATAAATGAGTTTGCTCTGGAGCCCTCCCTCCTGAGCTAAGACAAAAATGTGTGAACCGGAGGCTAAAGAAATGTGAGCTAGCTCACACTAACTCAGCTTAGAGGGAACACTGGTGACCGGGGCACACTTAACAGCATCTGGGGGTGTTGGCAAGGAAGCCCTCTCGAGAAAAGGGATGAAGGCAGGGCAGACCTCCGAGATGTTCTTCCTCTTCCCCTCTGCACGAGGGCTTGCCTCACGTGGCCGCTTCTGGCGATGTCCAGGGGGAGGGGTCTCCCTTCTTCTCCTTCTGTTTAATGCCCACAGACCTCTGTCCGACGCGGAAGTGTCCTGAGTTGGGGACGCACCCTGGTAGAACAACCCGCTGACGGCGCTTGCTCTGATTTGCAGCCTGAGTTTGAAACCAAATGCAACAACGCGAAACCCAAGAAGAGCTACATCGCCACCCAGGGCTGCTTGCAGAACACTGTGAATGACTTCTGGAGGATGGTGTTCCAGGAGAACTCCCGCGTGATCGTCATGACCACAAAGGAAGTGGAGAGGGGAAGGGTAAAGAGAGAGAGAGAGAGAGAGAGAGAGCCCCCCTCCCCAGTGGCAGATCTTGATGCCCTCTGTGGTTAGTGTAGCGTCCTCCTGGGCAGGTTGTGGTTTGACCATAAATCGGCTGGCTCCTTCTTCCCGGAGCACTGTTGGTTCCGGGAGAAGGGGGGCAGGGGCCTGAAGGTAAAGGCAAGGCACTGAATTCATGTGCGCATGTCCTCTTAATGGAAAACCGGAGGTCTTGGCTCGACACAAACCAGTAGAGTTTCGTGTGCTCCGCCTTTTGTCCCATCCACTGGCTAGAAGATGGCGTGAGCCCGTCAGGCGGGCGTTGGGGCCGCACCGTGTCCCACCATTCTCCTCTCCCCCAAGCAGAAGCGAGCCAGCATCCTGAGGCCCAGTGTCCCCTGCTTCCCTGTTCCGCCCCCTGGCAGCCGACGCGTTCTGCTCCAGCACTGCCGCTCACTCGACCCACCAGCGAGAGGAGAAGCCGCTCCGGGGTGTGCCTGTTAGTCCGTAACTTCTTGACATGTTCCAGGCGAGCAGTTCTGCCTTCCAAGGGAAAGAGGCAGGTTAAGGATGAGTGAGCCGGAACCCTGCACAGCTTGGGGATTCCGGATGGAACGCAGAAGGCGGCAAGCCAGGGAACCTTTGTGGGGGAGCCCCAGGGCATTGTGGGGGAGTGCCCTCCCCTTGATGTGTCTTCCCCGGCCCTTCTTTTCAGGGGCTTTGTTTTTCCTGCCCCAAGTGTTCACTGCATGGCGCTGAAATTTGAGCTTCGCTGTTCACAAGGATTGGGGATTTCCTTTTATTTCCCTCTCGGGGGTCCTGCACCCATTATTTGGAATGGGGCAAGCGTCCGATTGGATACGCGGAGCACCCGCAGACGTGCCGAGAGCTGGTTATTGATCGTATCGGGTTGCTTCGTTGCGTTCCAGTGTTCCCGGTGCAGTGTGAAATTCTAGCTTTTTACTGCATTCGCCACCCAAAACTGATTTGGCAAGATCTCTTGGCCTGGTGATTTATTCCACTTTCAAGAGGTTTTTCTCAAGCATTAAGGATTTGCTGACTGGTGTTGAGATTTATATAATGGGGGGTGGGGGTGGAATGTTCAGCTTTGCACAAAATATGTTCCTTGAATCAGCTAAAAATCTACGTAAGTCCCACTAGTAAAGCCAACTAGATGTCAGGACCAGTGTTCCCTCTAAGCTGAGTTGGTGTGAGCTAGCTCACAGTTTTTTAGCCTCCGGCTCACACATTTTTGTCTTAGCTCAGGAAGGACGGCTCCAGAGCAAACTAATTTACGCAGTAGCCAAATCACCTGCTCACAACTTTAATGCAAGTAGCTCACAAAGTAGAATTTTTGCTCACAGGACTCCACAGCTTAGAAGGGAGCATTCTCAGGACCCACAGCCAAACAACGGAGCACACACTTCCAAGAAAGGTTTTGCTTTATTGTCAGTACTATGGTTGCAGTAACATGGTCACTGTTAGGAATGACTAGGGGAAGAGTAACCGACCCTCGGCTGGGAAACGAAACTAGTCTCATGGTTAATTAAAGTGGAGACACTACACAGGCAGGAGTGCAAGGTCAGAGATAACAGGGGGAGAAGCAAGAGGAAAGGAATGTGGCACCAACTCGTACACAGGTCAGGCAGGCGAACCCTAGGCCTGTAAACCATATGGCAGCCTAGCTGACACTAGAGCACAATTCCAAGAACTCTTGATCTTCCCCCAGAAGGACAACCCTCTGTTTGCAGCAGCGGATGAGCAGCACATTCTCTTTCTCTCTGGCAGCTGTTAGTGCGGCTTCTAGGGCTGATACGAGCTCTTCTGGGCCTGACCCACGGCCCAGACACTCAACAATCAGGAAGTCTCCAGGGACTAGGAAAATCAGTCACGAGGAGCCGAGCTGCTCAGGGTAAAAAACAAACAACGATGGGAGGAGCCAATGATGGCATTAAAATAACTTTCCAAAATAACAAGAACAATGCGATATAAGTTATGTTGTCGAAGGCTTTCACGGCCGGAGTTCAATAGTTGTTGTAGATTTTCCGGGCTGTACAGCCGTGGTCTTGGCGTTGTGCTGTTGCTGTTGTTCAGTCACACAGTCGAGTCCGACTCTTCGCGACCCCATGGACCACATCACGCCAGGCCCTCCTGTCTTCTTGTCGTCCTCCAGAGTTTGCTCAACTTCTTGGCATTGTAGTACCTGACGTTTTGCCAGCAGCTGTGACTGGCATCCTCAGAGGTATAACACAGAGAGATGGAGTACTCTCTGTGTCAAGGTGAGAAGAAGAATGGTAGGCAGGTAATTGATATCTACTCAGGAAGGTGGGGTAGGGCTGAGTCATTATCTTGTAGGAGTTCCCCAGGCTGTGACATGCTAATGGAGAATTTCAGCAGCCAATCCATATGCAAAAGAACCTTCTCAGGAAAGCTCCTCTATTAGCATGTCACAGCCTGGGGAACTCAGCCCTACCCCACCTTCCTGAGGAGATATACATTACCTGCCTGCCATTTTTCTTCTCACACTGACACAGAGGGTACTCCATCTTTCTGTGTTATATCTCTGAGGATGCCAGTCACAGCTGCTGGCGGAACGTCAGGTACCACAATGCCAAGACCACAGCCCGGAGAATCCACAACAATGAAAGGCTATAGGTTGTTTTTGTTATTTTGGAAAGTTATTTTGTTTCTTTGGGGAGTTGTGCTTTCGGTTTTTCAGGTCTTAGAAGGGGACGGAGTGTGGGGAAGGAGGCCTGGGAAGGCAGAGTCTCCACGGAAACCCTGAGGGGAGCAGGCTGGCAGATTCACACGTGGTCTGAAGCGACCCTCCAGGTTATCAGGCTTGTGGTCCCTTCTGAATGATGGCCTCCCCAGAGTCTGTGAGGGAAGGGAGCCCCACCTTGCTGGATTTAAGGAAGTTCTGCTTAGACAGGCCTCCAGGGAATGTGTTCGATACAAAGTTGGAAAGCTGTCCCTGAATTGACTTTAGTGGGTTGTCCTTTGCCGTGTTAAATGCTGGACGTATCGACGCCAATGCGAGTCTCATGTGTGAGCCAGAGGCTAAAAAAACTGTGAGCTAGCTCACACTAACTCAGCTTAGAGGGAACACTGGTAGTCAGTGTAACTTGACAGGAGGAGTCCACATAGTCATAACATTTTCCAAACGGCCTTTGCAAAGACGCCCATTCTAGATACTCGGAAGAGGCGTTTCCTTCGACTTCTTCAGTTTGCCGGCTATGTAAGTGGAACCTGATTCCAGCATGTTTTAACAGACCGCAAGGTTCATAGTGTAAGGAGCGAATCGTAGGTTCTCGAGCCAGCCGACCTCGATAGGCCAGTGGACTGATTTGTTCTAAGGCCGTTTCAGGTGTGTTCCTCCTAGGCCAGTGTCTTAGCCTTCACCCTCCAAGGCCCTCTTTCAACGCCCTGCTTGGTCCCTTCTGCATCTGTCCCATTTTTCGTCCTTCCCTTCCTCCGAGGAGTCCCAGAGTCGTGTACGTAATTCTTCCCTCCCTCCGTGGGATGTCTGGGGCCCGGGCGTGCTTGGCCAGTGGTCACTCTGTAGGTTCTCGGTGTCTGTGAAGGACCAGTAGAAGATCCTGGCCAATGGCCGCCAGAGACCCTTTGCCCGCCCTTTCCTCCATGATAGGGGGGCAGCTCTGCCAATCACTGCCAGGAACTTTGTTGCTACCCCCCCAAAAAAAATTCCTCCTCGTATTGTAGTATGGAGCGATTCTTCTTCAGCTCCGTTCTCCAGTGCTTCTCCTTGTGTTGGCAAGCAAGCTAGAGTCGGGCACTGTGTGAGTGGAGTCCCTGCTGGCCCCTTCATGCTGTCCAGGTGCCTGCCCACGCCTGCCTCATTGCCTCCTGCCCATGCTGGTATTCAGTGCTTTGGCCTCTTGGGAGGGAGTGTGGCTCAAAAATGATGGTCACAGTCACAGAACAGACCGCAAAAAGAAGAAACTGTGAGGTAACTGCGCTAGAAAATATTTCAATAAACAATCACAAAATATATACAAAAATGTGTACAAAAATCATATAAATGCACAAGGCAGTTGAAAATGGTGTGACGATGGTCTCCGGAATGTTCTATCGTTTCGATACTATTCTTCTTCCAAAAGTGGATGAAAGCAGCGACTCTTGGTCTGTCATTTCAACAAGTCTTGTGCATTTATATGATTTTTGTACACATTTTTGTATATATTTTGTGATTGTTGAAATATTTTCTAGTGCAGTTACCTCACAGTTTCTTCTTTTTACGGTCTCTTGGAAGGGAGTGCCAGTGCAGGCCAGCCTGCCTCCCTCAGTCACAGAGAGCGGATCGGGAGCCTTCTGTTTCACGGGAGACGACGCCACTAGAATCCGATTCCAAGGCAAACATATTGGTGCCACTTGGTCTGTCCCGCTTCTTCTTTCCTCGGGACTGGCAGCCAAGGACCTCCCTCCTTGAGGCGTTCACCAACAAGCGCTTGGTTTTCAAAGGCAGTGCCGCGGGCTCCCCAGAGTGCCTCAGCAAGAGATCTGGGGGTCGGGTCCCAGCCGCGAGTGCCCGCGCGTTCTGCGTTTCCTTTAAGGCCATCTGTTTCAGTTTCTTGTTCCTCTTTCCAGCGGGCTGTGAAATGCTCTCCGTCTTGCCAGGAACCATGCCAGTCGCTGTCTGGCTGCTGTCATCGCTTGGCTTAGGGAAATTAACTTGCGCGGTTTTGTTTTTATTTCCGGCATCTCCAGATCGTCTTTGTGTTGATCAAACACAAGGCGGCCGGGGACACTTCCCAGTCTGTGCGCAGCGCTCCGTGTGGGAAACGTCCAGCCCTGGCTGGGTAGGGTGGCTGGGGTGCAGAAGGACCGTGGGCCAAGCCAAGGGTAACAACACATGGTCACTGAGGCAGGCCCCTATCTGTGAACCGGGTCCCAGAGCAAGGGCGACTGGGTGAAGACCAAGAGACAAGCTGGGAATAACCCGCGGGGCCAGAAACCGTGCTCCTTTTGAGTGGTTTATGCTCGCCTGGCAAATCAAATCGCCTCGCTCGCCTGCCCAAATGTGCCCCAAAGAAGAGCAATAACTTCAGTGAAGCGTTGCTGCCTAGTCGCCTGGATGCAGTTCTCGCTCACCCTAGGTGACTCAGACCGTTGTGGTTTACAAGCCTGACTTAAGCAGAGTGCAGAATGTGAGCTACCAGGGAGGAAAAGGTTTGCAGCAGGCAGGCATAAGCAAAAAGAGAGCAGGCAATTGATGTTTCTTTCTGATTTGGGCCGAACCTGAACTGCTGTGATCAGGCCTCAGTCATAAACACACAACTCTCTCCCCCACCCCGGTTTTTGTCTTCTAGAGCAAGTGTGTGAAATACTGGCCGGATGAGCACGCACTAAAGGAATACGGCGTTATGCGCGTCAGGAATGTCAAAGAGAGCGCTGCTCACGATTACACGTTACGAGAACTGAAACTTTCAAAGGTTGGGCAAGTAAGTGCGCAAAGTCCTCGGGTGCCGTGACGTCTCCGGCATTGTAGCCAAAAAATTTTTTTAAATCCCCAGAACCACGCACGAGGGCAGCACGAACACGTCCGTGTTGTCCCCTTCTGTCAACGTCCCTAATGTGGAAGTTTAAACTGTGAGCTCCACAGTTGCCCGCTCCCCCGTTCCTCTGCAAGTTGCTTTGCTGTGAACGTGAATGCCATTCTTACCCGCGTAATTAGTGATGTGAATGTGGCTGCAAGCATTGAAGCATGCGTTTTGGAAGGAGGGGTGTAATGGTTTCAAGTTATGTGTGTGTTTCCTTAAATGGTTGGTGTCAGTAGAACACGGGGGGTGAAAGTGGGAGATGAGCGAGTGAGGTGATTGGTTGGTGCAGGGCTCTTTTTGTAGAAAAAGCCCAGCAGGAACTCATTAGCATAATAGGCCACACCCAACAGCAGGAACTCATTAGCACATTAGGCCACACCCTAACAGCACCACTCATTAGCATATTAGGCCGCACCCCCATGTTACCAGAAGTGTGGTCATCCAGCCACACCAACCTTTTGCTTCTTATTCTGTTTACCTTGTTTGTTGTCAAAACCCAGAGCTTTTTTTTTAGCAGGAACCCCTTTGCATGCTAGGCCACACACCCCTAATGTAGCCAATCCTAATGAGTTCCTGCTGTTGGGTGTGGCCTATTATGCTAATGAGTTCCTGCTGGGCGTGGCCAACTCAGGAGCCAGCCGGAACTCCGTTCCTGTGCGTTCCTGCCCAAAAATAGCCCTGGGTTGGTGACTGAGAGTGTGGGCGGAGCTAGGAGGTGTGCATGTGTGTGTGCGCGTGTGGAGCGAGAGAAGGCCGAGGGTTCTGTCTGAAATTTGAAGTTTGAAGACTGAAGTCAGCAGTTGTCAGTTGTGGTCGATCTACACAGAGTCTGAGAAGCGGTCTTCTCATTAGAATCATATTCAAGACAGGTGGCTAGGTTCTGCGCCCAGGTATACAAGGAACGCAGAAAGCGAGGCAAATAGACCATATCTCTAGTTTTATCAAAAATTGTTTCAGACTGACTTTTTAAATGGTTTAAAAGGTTTGAACTGTAGTTCTACTTTTTCCTTTATATTTTATATAACTTACAAGCTTTTATGTTACTAAGGTTTTTACTGGTGCGTGACCAGCTATGATAGTATTGGGAATTTTTCTATTTTTATTTTAAATTGTTATGTACTGGTCGAAGACTGTAATAATAAACTGACAGACAGATTCCATTAGAATCATATAGAAGTGCTGTGAAAGGCATTAAGATTCTAAAGGAAGGAGGACATACACTTAAGGGAAAGATTCTACTGAGCAACTTAACAAAACATCTTGCAACTAATACATTTCTTTTACCAATAAAGTTTTATCTTGTTTATTGTTAACCCAGAGTCTTATCCTCAGAACCACATAGTCCAGCGAAGGAGCCTTAAAGCTCAGGCACAATACCGTGGGAAAGGTTAATGAAAGACTGGGATTATATTCCCGGTGGCAGCATTACATACACTGAGTGAGTGAAAGAAACAGCCAGGAATTTAAAACCACATCATACCTAACCACACAAAATAAGAGAGAGGTACCGTCACAGGAGCTGCGGTGGCTCAAGTGGTTAAGACGCTGAACTGCAGGCTGTGGAAGGTCGGTAGTTCAGCAGTTCGAGACCCGGGTGCCGCATGACGGAGTGAGCTCCCGTCTCTAGTTCCAGCTCATGCCAGCCTAGCAGTTCGAAAGCAAGAAATTGCAAGTAGATAAATAGGTACCACTTCGGTGGGAAGGGAACAGCGTTCCGTGCGCCTTGGTGTTTAGTCACGCCGGCCACATGACCACAGAAACGTCTTCGGACAGCGCTGGCTCTTCGGCTTTGAAATGGAGATGAGCACCGCAACCCTAGAGTCGGATTCGACTGGCTTTCGAGCAAGGGAACCTTTACCTTTACCGTCACAGGGGGGTGACGTCTTCTGGCCTGCAATGCAGTAAAAATGGTCCATCAGCGCTTGTCGTCTCTGTGAAACTCCCAAGAGACACAGAAAAGAGAGCCAGCATGGTGGCCCAGTGGTTAATGTCAGTCTATGATCCGGGAAGCCCAGGTTCGAATCCCCACTCTGCCGTGGAAGCCGGCTGGGTGACCTTGGGCCAGTCACGCACTCTCTCAGCCTAACCCACCTCTCACAGCTGCGGTGAGGATAAGGTGGAGGAGTGGAGAACGGTGGTGGCTGCTTTTGGTCGCTGGGGGGAGGAAGTGAATAAGAGGAGATCAGTCCCCCCCCCCCCAGTTTTTTAAAAATTTAAACAACCATACCTCAAATAGAGAGGAGCAAGATCGTTTTAAGGGTGTTCACTATTTAGAACGCCACTCTTACAAACAAAGCCATTTTTTAATCTTTAACAAAAGAAGGGAACGACTTCTTTTCCTGAGAGGAATCGAATTATTGGATACCATATGGAAACCAATGATGCTTGATGACCTTCACTGGCTTGATTAGAAATACCATTTGCGATTTCCCCCCATAATGAATTGCATCCATACCTTATCATACCACCCAACAAGAGACGGGCCTAGATTCGATTTCCACTGAGACGCAATGGTGAGTCTCGCCGCGGCAATCAGGACAGAGATTGTCTCTTTTCTTTTGTTTCAAAGGAGGAGGGTCTGGCCATAATTCAAGTTACATCAGTTCAGGAGTGAAAGGGGAGCACCAAATTCATGATCTCACTGATTGCAGCGACAATAGCCTTTCAGAAGCTATGGATATAGGGACACACCCACCAACGGTGCCAAAATGAACCAATCTGCCCGCAGCCTTTCCAGCACAATGGAGATCAGTCCTCTGAAAGGATCCTCTTTTAGAAGCTTTTGCAGTTTTTCTCGTGGTTCTAAAACTCCGGCTGCTCCTTTGGGTTCCCTCCCAGTGTTCCCTCTAAGCTGAGTTAGTGTGAGCCAGCTCACAGTTTTTTTAGGCTCCGGCTCACACATTTTTGTCTCAGTTCAGGAAGGACGGCTCCGGAGCAAACTACTTTATGCAGCAGCCAAATCGCTCGCTCACCACTTTAATGCCGGTAGCTCACAAGGTAGAATTCTTGCTCACAAGACTCCACAGCTTAGAGGGAGCCTTGGTTTCCCCCTTCCTCGCCCTTCTTGGCTGCCCGATGGCCAGGTGGGAATGTGAGAGACCTAGCGAGGCCTCTCGTAACCCTCTCGGGGGGGGGGGTGTCTCCTCCAGGGCAACACCGAGCGGACAGTCTGGCAGTACCACTTCCGGACCTGGCCGGACCACGGAGTGCCCAGCGACCCCGGCGGGGTTCTGGATTTCCTCGAGGAGGTCCACCACAAGCAAGAGAGCATCGCGGAGTCCGGCCCGGTCGTGGTCCACTGCAGGTACTGCGGCGGGTGCGCTGGGCTGTCGTCAGGCTCCGTCTTTGGCCCAAAGAGGCAGAAATGAACTCTTTTCCCCCCCTCTTCTCTCGACAGCGCTGGGATTGGTCGCACCGGGACATTCATCGTGATAGACATCCTCATCGACATCATCAGAGAGAAAGGTGAGTCTCCCCCCCCCCCCCCCCCCGACGTAAGCCCATTGCGGCTCTATCATGAAGTCACCGATAGCCCACGGCTAAATAGCGTCAGCATCAGCCACATATATGAAATACACCCATGACGTGGCCTTATACCAAATCAGACCCTTGGTCCGTTTAAATCAGCATCGGCCGTTCTAAAGAGCAGTGGCTCTCCAGGGTCTCAGGCCTTTCGCATCCCCGACTGCCAAAATCTTTTAACTGGAGATGCCAGGGATTGAAGAGCCAGTTTGGTGTCGTGGTTAATCCCCACTCTGTGGTGGACTGCGCGGACTCTCATCTGGGAGAACCGGGTTTGATTCCCCACGCCTCCACTTGCACCTGGCTGGGTGGCCTTGGGCAAGCCACAGTTCTCTCAGAGCTGTTCTCTCAGGAGCAGTTTCTGTCGAGAGCTCTCTCAGCCCCACCCACCTCATAGGGTGTCTGTTGTGGGGAGGGGAAGGGAAAGGAGTTTGTAAGCCACTCTGAGACTCCTTCGGGTGGTGAAGGGCCATGGGGTATAAATCCAATCTCCTCTTCTTCTTCTTGAACCTGGTTCCTTCTATATGCCAGGCAGATGCTCTGCCACTAAACCACAGTATGCTGTCTTAACCCTCCCTGCTAAAGTTTGCTTGTTGTGGGCTTCCTCCATGCCCCACTGAGCAAAGGCCTGGTCTCTATTGGGGCTAGCCAGCGAGGGGACTCTCGGAGGCACTGGGCTGGCTGCGGTCAGAAACCGTGCCGGGATCAAGAAACCTTGAGCTCCTCCAGCCAGGCAGACCCTGCACAGGCCAGTGTAGGCACGACGGGTCTGTTGACGGTACCGGCTGCGATAGCCACAAACGGAGGCTCCTCATTCAGTGGCAGTCCGCCCCTGAAGATGAGTGAAGATGCTATGCTTTCCTGGTAGATAAGGATGCCCCCCCCCCCCCGATGGGTGTTGGGCTGGCCGCTGGTAGAATCGCGGGGCTTAGATGAACCCTGGTCTGATCCAGCAAGGCAGGCTTGAAGAACAGGCTCGGTAAGTTCATGGCGCGCAGGTCTGTCAGCAGCTCTTAGCTCCCAGGTAATGGAACCTCCCCAGTCAGAGGCAGTATACCTGTGAGTAATCAGGTGTTTGGGCTAGAGGAAAGCCCTCACCTGTGTAGCCCTGCTTGGGGGCTCCCTGCTGTGAGAACCAGGATGCTAGGTTAAGTGGACCTTGGGTATGGTTCAGTGGGGCAAGTCTTACTTCTGTCTTGTCCCCCCTTCCCCCCCAGCCAATCCAGCTGGCTTCGTAGCAAGGTACATATAGCACTGAATATATATATCGTATATATAGTACATACATTGTAAATATAGTCCATCTTAGGAGCGAGTGGAGCTGCCTTCCAAACCACTGCAGCAGGTCTCCGGGGTCTCGGGCAGAGAAAGTGCTTTCTCAGCATCTGCTGTCTGAGGTCCAGGGCTTGAACCTTGGTCCTTTGTTGCAAAGGACAGGACCTGCCACTGCTCCTGACTTGTAAGCTGCATCTGTTGGAGGGCTCAGGTGTCAGACTCCTGGATAAATCAGTTCCCAACAACATTCAGTCTGGAGAATGATAGGTTTATTGAGACATTGATAGGATCCAGACTGGACACTGGTTGGTTTAGAACTGAGTTTAAAGGCATGAAGGCAGTAGATATACAGGGTTCAAGCAGGGGCCCTAAAAGGCCCAGGACCAATCATCCCTTAGTATTCCACCCGCCAAAAGCAACAGCCAGCAACCCCCTTACTATGCCATCCCCCTCGCTATGTAAAATGAAGTCAAATGGTGAAAGCTGAGACCCAAGGACGCCTGGGTTCCCAAAGGTGATAAGAGTGCCTGCTGCTTCAAAGCAACCTAGCAAAAGCAAAAGCATTTCAGTTTCACTCTCTCCCACACCCCCTCCTCCTTGGTTGCTATGACGAACGATCTGTAAGATGCAGAGCGAGTTTGACATCAGGTGACAATGCTACCTTACATCTCGTTGCACTAAGCATCTTCCCACCTTCCCCTAGGCGTGGACTGTGACATTGACGTTCCAAAGACCATCCAGATGGTGAGGTCCCAGCGGTCTGGTATGGTGCAGACCGAGGCCCAGTACCGGTTTATTTACATGGCGGTCCAGCACTACATCGAAACGCTACAGCGCAGGATCGAGGAGGAGCAGGTACATTCTTTGAAGCGGCCTTTGTTGGACTCGGTGATTAAATGGCCTGGCTTGAGCGCTTTCTGATCAAGGGTTTTCCATCTCAACCCATGGGCGCTATCAGCCAAAGAGCTCTAAGACTTAGGAGGCAGACCTGCAAATAGGTCTGGCCAAAGTTAATAGACCACAGTTCGTTTATTTTTTTGATTATTTTATACCCTGCCTTTTTTTCCAATGGGGGACCCAGTGCAGCTTATATGATACTCCTCTGTTTTATCCTCACAACAACCCTGTGAGGTAGGTTAGATTTGTACCCCACCCTCCCCGCCATAGCAGGCTCAGGACGGCTCACATAAAAAAAGCACAATAACAATAAATATCATGGCATCCAGGGGTCATTTCCTGCAGGAGCACACAGGAGCAGAGCTCCGGCACTAAAGAGCCCAGGGGGCGGGCATATGCAACAAGCCCCACCCCCTGCTCCAAGCAGCCCTCAGTCAGAGCAAGAAGCAGCCAGGTAAGTTGCAGAGATCCCTCCCCCCGGCCCCCCCGGCCCCAAACAGTCCAGTGGCACCTTTAAGACCAGGTTTTATTCAGGCACAAGCTCTCCCTCCTCTGCGAGGACAAATCTGCACGTTCTCCCGCCCCCCAATAGCTAGCAATCCAAAAGAGTCCAGTGGAGCCTGAGCGGTGGGTGTTGCCTTCTGACACACTTCCGGTGAGGTCAGGGGGTGTGGCATATGCAAATAGATTATGCTAATGAGTTATGCTAATGAGCTCCTGCACCTCTTTTTCTACGAAATGGCCCCTGATGGCAACTAAAAACAATCCATCGAACAGTTCACAAACAGTTCATTAAAACCATTTACAATATACAAGAAGGGGGACCCGTGATACTTGCTGGGGGGAGGAGCTCCATGCAGAGGAGGAGGAAGCAGCCGCAGGTAAGCTCCCCCCCCCCCCGGCACCAATGGCGAGGCCCGCACGGCTCCCAGCCGTCGGGCCCACCAAGCTTTCTCCCCCCCTTTTGTGGCCGTGGCAGCGGCGAGGCCTCAGCGGCCAGCCCGCAAAGCCTTCACCCGCCCCCCTCTCAGTGGCAGCGAGGCAGTTCTCAGAGCGTTCTCTGTGCATGCGCAGGAAACGTGCTTTTACTTTTGGGGGGGTTTAAGTATCCCTCCTATAGTTTTTTATAGATTTCAGATTTTTCTGCACATCTGGGAATTGCCTCAAATGTGCAGGAAAATGTCTTTGCCCCCAATGTGCGGATTTAGATATCCGCACGCAGGGGGCGCCTTGGCTATTAGTATATGGATTAAAGTGCTAGCAGTTGACTTAGAATATCAAGACAGTCTCATACATTCTATAATTTTGCTTGACATCAGCACGTTGGTCGTTCTCAATTATGGTCGGCAAGCACAGGCTGTCAGTAATGGGCCAGGCACCAGGCTTCAGTTGTTGCTAGCGATGTTGGCGGCTCCGAGTTGAAAGCCTGTCGGAAGAGGCTCTGGGAGGGCCCGGATCTCCTCAGGGAGCTCGTTCCACCAGTGTGGAGCCGCCACCGGGAAAGCTCCGGCCCTGCTTCCAGCTAGCCTGGCGTCCTGGGGACCTGAAAGGGCCAATCGGTTTCGCGACCCTGACCAAAGTGCTTTCTGGGGTACATATGGGGAAAGGCGGTCCCTCAGGAATGTCGGACCCTGGCCATGTAGGGCTTTAAAGGTCAGAGCCAGCACCTTGAAGCGAATCTGGTATGCTGTCGGCAGCCAGTGCAGCGCCTTCAGTACAGGCTGGATGTGCTCCCTCATGGAAGCCTGGCCGCAGCATTTTGCACCTCTGCAATCACTCCTAATTTCGGGGCAATGAAATTTGGTAGGAATCTGAGACTGACAGGGGAGAAGACTCTTTCTGGAGAGGGGCAGATCAGGTGCCTGGTCTGTCGTTTGAAGCTGGTTCGGTCAAGATTGCATTGCAGCGATTACTCACGGATGCCAGTCCCAAGGGCCCGGCCTCTCTCCAGGAAAGAAGCAAGAGAATGCTGCCATTATGAGAAACTGTGCTTGGCCGTGCAGTGTGACGCACCCAGCGTGGTGTCGTGGTTTAGAGGGCTGGACTGGAGATCTGGGAGATCCGATTTCAGCCATCCAGTTTGCCATCGAAGCTTGCTGGGAGATCTTTGGGCCAGTCACAGACTCTCAGCCCGACCTACCTCACAGGGTGGTTGTTCTGAGGATAAAATGGAGGACCGAAGAACAGTGTAAGCCACCCTGGGTCCCTGTTGGGGGGGGAGAAGTGGGGTATAAATTATGTATTTACTGTGCCATTTTTCTACCTGTTCTGATGCAATCGTATATCGTTGTAAACCGCTGCAAGCTCTTAATTGAAGAGAAGCAGCATAGAAATTTGAAACTGACAAATAAATGAAATCAATAAAATATAAATGAAGTCAATAACCTGAGAGCCAGTTTGGTATAGTGGTTAAGTGTGCGGACTCTAATCTGGGAGAACCGGGTTTGATTCCCCACTCCTCCACTTGCACCTGCTGGGTGACCTTTGGTGAGCCATAGTTCTCTCAGAGCTGTCCTTGAAAAAGAGCAGTTCCTGTCAGAGCTCTCTCAGCCCCGCCTACTTCACAGGGTGTCTGTTGTGGGGAGGGGAAGGGAAAGGAGATTGTAGGCCGCTCTGAGGCTCCCTTGGGTAGTGAAGAGCTGGGTATACATCCAATCTCCTCCTCCTCCTCTTCTTCTTCCTCCTCCTCCTCCTTCTTCCCTGGCCACCAATGCTCCCTCTGAACTGTGAGCAGAAATTCTACTTTGTGAGCTGCTGGCATTAAAGTTCTGAGCGAGCAATTTGGCTACCACCTGAATTAATTTGCTCTGGAGCCCTCCTTCCCGAGCAAAGACAAAAATGTGTGAGCCAGAGGCTAAAAAACTGTGGGCTAGCTCACACTAGCTCAGCTTAGAGGGAACACTGCTGGCCCCCTCCATGGGGACCTGGTCAGTGGAGGCTGCTTGTTACCCGGGGTGGGAGGCGATGCGGTTGTTCTTCGAGACAGAACAAAACAGTTTGCACACGTGAGAGCGATTCTGTAAGTGTGTTTTTTTGGGCTGGGGGGGATTCTCTCATTTCAGAAGAGTAAGAGAAAAGGACACGAGTACACCAACATTAAGTATTCTTTAGTGGACCAGGCAAGCGGAGACCAGAGCCCTCTCCCGCCCTGCACTCCCACGCCAACCTGTCCTGAGTAAGTAGCCGGCCGCACCTGAAATCCCAGCACCTACTTTGCCAAGTTGTTCAGGATCCGAGTGCTCAAGGAATTGGGGGGGGGGGGACAATTTAGATGCAGGAGGTGGGAGCAGGCACAGAAATGGAGTTAGGGGGCATACCAAGGTGCTGTTTTCTATATTGTTAATCTTCACTTCGCCCGTTTTCATTGCCAGTGTTCCTGACTGTTTTCATCTCCCACCAGTTTTGCACAATTGACCCTGAAAAGCTAAAAAGCTAAAGCTTGTGTCC